GAGGTAAAGTCAGTCACTCAAGTGCACTCAGCTAAAAGTGGCAGAGCTGGGACTTAAGCCAGGCAGGCACCTCTGTCCCAAGGTACTCTTGCTCCCGGCCATTGTGCTGTGTGCTACCTTTCCCCTTCATTGCCACGTGAAACCCTCCTTCCTCACCTGTCCCGGGGCAGGATTGGCGACACGCCTTTTCGCCTCCTGAGGTTGGCCCAGGTCCTTAGGGCTCCGTGCCCGGGGAGGGGAGCCACTTACAATGTTCATGATGGCCAGCACGTACTGCTCCACGTCGCGGCGCCCGTGGTAGGCCACCATCATCTTGTCAGCCACCACCAGGGTCTCCACGTAGCGCTCTCGGCTGACCGACCGCTTCAGGCCAGGCTGGCCCGCTCCGTCTCATTTCCCGGGCCTGGCGGTGGCTTCAGGCGTGCGCAGCCACCACGGCCGCCCTTCCACGGTTTCTCGTCTGGGAACCGGGAGACGGCGACTGAGCCCTGCCCTGCTGGCGGGGCGCGCAGCAGCCTGACCGCTGTCCCGTATGACACCTGACTCTCCACTCGACAGCCGGACGGACCAACTGCTGGCCATTCTGCGGCCTGCTTTGTTGTCCAACTACCTGTCTGATGGTCCTCTGCCCAACAGGCTGCCACGCACCTCGTTCTTTTGCTATCGGGCACCCTGGCAGGACCATGTCTGGTTTTGCAGTGTCTCTAGCTGAATGTTGGGTCTGCAATGACTTTCCCACTGCCTAATGGTTGGGTTGAATAAGAGACCGACTTCCCCACTGTCTTTTTTTTTTTGAAACAGAGTCTCACTCTGTCGCTTGGTAGAGTGCAGTGCGCCATCCTAGCTCACAGCAACCTCAAAACTCCTGGGCTCAAGTGATCCCCTCTCTCAGCCTCTCTAGTAGCTGGGACTATTAAGCACATGCCACCAGGCGCCAGCTAATTTTCTATTTTTAGTAGAGACGGGGTCTCGCTCTTCCCAGGCTGGGTCTCAAACTCCTAAGCTCAAGAGATCCTCCCGCTTTGGCTCACAGAGTTTTAGGATAACAGGCGTGAGCCACTTGCCTGGCCCTCCTGTCTGGTTGTAAACAATCATCTGTCCCGTTGCCTTAATGCTCACCATTAAGCAACCACACTGCCTCAACGCCCAATGTCAAACTGAACACTTGCAGAAGTGTACTGCTGCCATGCTGGTTGGTTGAACAACTGTCCATTACAGTCAGCATGATCACAAGACCCCTGATAATTCTGCCCGATATATTGGCATGGGGCAGCCTGTCTCACTGTCTGTGAACTGTGCGCTTGTCAACTGTGTCCTCCCAACCAACCAACTTGCCAATCAATGCACTGCCCAGCTGCCTGACTGTACCACAACGGGACTGTCCCACAGACAATCCAACTGTCCATCACTTCCTTTACTGCTTGTACCACACTGTAGTTGTATGTCTACCAGAATGTCCTACCGAGAGACTATCCAGTTGTACAACCACTCAATGTCGCATTGTTCTGCTTTTCCCCCAAATTGATCTTTTTTTTTTTTTTTTGAGCAGAGTCTCACTTTGTTGCCCAGCTAGAAGTGAGTGCATGGCGTCAGCCTAGCTCACAGCAACCTCAACTCCTGGCTCAAGCATCCTGCCTCAGTCTCCCGAGTAGCTGGGACTACGCATGCGCTACCATGCCGGTAATTTTTATTATATATATTAGTTGGCCAATAATTTCTTTCTATTTATAGTAGAGACAGGGTCTCGCTCTTGCTCAGGGTGGTTTGACTCCTGACTCGAGCAATCTGCCCGCCTCGCCTCCCAGAGAGCTAGATTACAGGCGTGAGCTACCGCGCCGGCCTGATCTGTTTTTCTAATGAAATGACGGTGCTGTAATATTTTTTTTGTATAAATTCCACTCTCCTGTTCCCTAAATGTCTGAGTGCACAACTGTCTCCTAGCAGCCTGGTTGTAAATCTGCCTGTTGACTGTAACAACTGTCGGTATCTGCTACAACACCCCGCTGCTTGCCTTCTGCTCTGCCTCAAGGAGAGACTTGTACATCCCTCTGCTCAACCCCAGAAAGCCAGATGTACTCTCATCCACAGGCTGTGTCCAGGTGGGGTTGAGCGAGGAGGAAGGCTTGTACACCACGTGGGGGCACTTTCCTCTGGGCCCGGGACTTGGGCCCCTTGCAGGGGCTCAATCAGGTACTCCTCTCGTCTGCCACAATCAGGCCATGCTGGTTTTGAGGAGTGGGACAGAAAGCTCAGATCAGGTTTCTGAATCTAGGACTCCAGGATTCTCTCTTGCTTTATGATTTCGTTCCTATCTACCTATCTAATCTATCTTGTTGGGTTATTTCACTATTCCTTTTCTAATGTCTAATGTCTTGAGAGGCTGGTTCGGCTCATTAACTTTCAGCCATACCTAAGGCTATACATTTTCCTCTAAGTACTGTTTAGCTGCATCCCCAAAGTCCTGATTAGCTCAATATACTTAAAAAAAAAAAAGTCCCACTATGAGTCTTTCCTGACTTCTATTTAGAAGGGTTTTGTTAACTTCCAAACTTGGTGGGAATTTCCCTTGTTTCCAGAATTCTCAGCTCACCAGGCCTCCACAGGTGCTGATGGCCACATGACTGCCGGCCTGGCCCTGCAGGGGCGATAGAGGCAGTGGGGCCGGCGGCCCTCTGCCAGGCCAGGCCCTCCCGTGTCCAGTACTCCACAGAGACGTGCCCTGCCAGTAGACGGGCGTTGTGGGTCAGGTTCAGCAGGAAGTGGTGGTGGTCGGCCACCTTTGTAGAAGAGGCGGGACTCAGCGTGGCCCCCCGCCCCGGCGCTGCCTCCGGGGAGGAGGTGGCGAGAAGGGAGCAGTGCCCGTTGTGGTCACGCGTGGGAAGGCGATCTCAAGCTCTCAGACTGGACAGAACTCATCCTGCGGGTGGGGGCAGGGAGGACTGGGTGGCCTGCTCTCGGCGGCCCGGCGTCTGCCTGCTGGCGCAGGTGACGCTGGCCTTACTGATCCCTAATCCAGGTCACTGCCCGCAAGGCTCCAGTCTAAGTGGACCCAGGGCCTTCTCCCCACGCCCCTTCCCGCCCATGAACCCCTCTTCTGTCGGAGCCAAACGGGCCTCTCCTTTTTCCTGCCCCACTGCACCCCCGGACCGTCTTACCTTGAGACCGGAAGCATGGTGACCTCGAACGTGAGGCCACCCAGGCAAGGGCCAGCGGAGTTGGCAGGCGGAGCATAGAGCCACGTGTCACATGTCTCCCAGCCCGGCTGCCGCAGCCCCCACGGTGCCACCTTCCCTGTTCCACAGCCTGGCAGCATCACCGGGGTCTTGGGAGGAGAGCCGGGTCAGAGGCGGGGTGCCTGGTCCCCACCCGCCCAGGATTCCAAATGCATTCCTCTCTCAGCAGATCCCTCTCCCGTCTCCCCATCCCATGCTCCCTGCCCTCCCAGTGAGGACAGGCAGGGACCGAATGTCCACGAGCCTCCTAGGTGCCAGCTATGGCCATTGCATTCTATTTCCAAATGTCTCTGGGAGCTCCCCTGGCACCACTCTCCTTTTACAGATGACGAATCAGACTGTGGGTGGTGAGAGTTTGCCCAGGGTCACTTGGCTAGAAGCGGTGAACTCAGACTCATTCACTGGGGAAGGACGTTGATAGCTCCAGGGAGAAGCGGCTGTGCATGATTAGGGCAGTCACCCTCCGTATTGCCACGCCACCACCCCTGGCCCTCTAGGCTCAGTCTCCTGGGAGCCACAGATGACAGACTGGTCAATGGAGAGCAGTCCAGATTGTGACATTCTTGGGAGTATCAGTGGGAGACTGGAAGCAGAGGTTGAAGGGTGGGAAGAGAACTGTGTGAGAGAAGGAGAAGGTGCACCGGCAGGGGAGCGCAAGGGCACAGGCTTGGAGGCGTGGCGGCGGCCCAGGCGGGCAGTGCAAGGGGAGGCTGGGAGGCTGGCGGTCAGTTGGATTTTCAAGGCAGATTAAAGCCACAGCCAGTGCTCCGGTCCCCAGATTTCCATATTCCCACCACTGTCTACAACCTGTCCTTGGATCCTCTTGCATGGGTAGCACCATTCACCCCACCTGGCAGGGCTGGGAAACCACTGTTCCCAGCAGCCTCTCCCGGCCCCTGGGCAGATCTGTTTCTCCAGCATCTGCCCAGGCCAGCCTGCCGCAGACACCATTTTGGCCACACCTGTGCCAAATCCTCCTTCCCCACGCCCTCCCGTCTCCGCCCTCTCCTCTCCTCCTTCTCTGTGCAAATCCCCCTTAATCACACACTGTCTTGTTTTTTTTTGCAGCCACCAAGTCTGAGAGTTGATCCCTAAACAGGGCAGTTTGGCCCCGGATTCCCGGGGGGGGGAAACTGTTTTTTTTTTTTTTTCTGAGCTGCTGACCTGAGAAGCCACATTCCCCGCTTCCACTTGGATCCCTCCAGCAATTGGGAGCTCACTCACAGATATTTTGTGACCCTGCTGCTCTGTTTGGCGGGCTAATGTCCACTCCTTGTTTTTCTTTTTTGTTTTACTTTTTGGGGCTTCGTTGGTGCGTGGCGTGGCCCTGTGCGGATCCTCCCCTCGCGTCCCTGAGCCTCTCTGGCCTCGCGTTGCTCCTTCCGTGGGACCCTGGGCGCGAGGAGTCGCCAGGCTGGTCTGGGAGCACTGAGCTGGGTCTGTAGTTCAGGGTTGCTCAGGAATCTCTGATCTCTTCCTGCCCCTGGAACCTCTTCTGGGACTTTATCTTCTCTTCCTAAAGCCTTCCTCACCCCAAAAAACTCCCCTCATCCCTTCTTGCTGCTTCTTCCTTCCCTGGAGGCCTCAACACACTTTGGATCAGGGCCCTTCTGTCCTAAATTGCCCCCTCCCCATTGGCGCATGGCAAGGCTTGGAGGTGTCCTCTGTCCCTGGCTGTGTCTCCCCTCTCCCCACTGCAGGTCTGGCACCCTAGCTTCCTCCCGTGGGCAGGGGACCCTCCTCCCAGCAAAACTCATACCCTCCTGGGCTTCTGGCTCAGCTGGGTGAATAGCGTGGAAGGAGTGGGCTGGGGGTGTGGAGGCTGGGAGGGGTCCGGCACAGATGGGGAGGACAGGGACCTGCAGGGGCTCACAGGTGCTGAGCAAGCTCCGCCCCAGGTCAGCTGGAAAGGGTGTCACATAGCCCAGGGCATGGTTGGGGACTACAACCAAGTGGTGGCTGGGAGGTCTGGGGGAGATTGCACTGGGGTGGGGAGGTGGCCAGTTAGGGGCAAGACACGTGAGAACAGGATGTATTAGCAAGACGGGCGAGCGGCAGTATGTGTTGCGGCCCTGCGTTGCGTGTCTGGTGTGGCTGTCGTGTGTGTACGCCAGGCCCACCATTAACTCCGAGAGGCCCTCCAGGAAGAGGCAGGAGGGGAGTGGCCTGTGTGGGGAGGGTGTCAGGACTGGAGGAGAATGCTCACGAAGGTTGGGAAATGAGGCTCTGGCTCCTCGTCCGTCCTGGGATCGGAAGACCAGCGGCGTCGGAGCAAGCCCTCGCGGATGCCCCGGTGGAGGCCAAGCGCGTCTGCCCAGGCATAGGCCGGCCGCCTGCACCATTGGCCAGCCAGCGGGAGAGCGGGCCGAAGCAGACAAAGGCCGGGGCGAGCGGGGCGCCTGCGCAATGAGGGTGCCTCCCGGCGCCCCGGCGGGTCCCCCCCCTGCCAGCGCTAATTAAAGGCCTGAGCCCGAACCGTGGACGACACCCTGAGACCGACGGCTGCGCCTCGGGACAACTTCAGGGGAAGTGGGCGGCGCAGCCCGCAGCCAGACACCAAACACACCACTGGCAGCGGCACACACAACACACAGCCCGCGCGCAGGACCAGCACTCGTCGGGCACCCAGACCCGCAAGGACCACGTCACCCCCAGCACACAGGCCACCACACTGACACACTCACGGACCGGCACACGGAGACCCAACTACACACTCCCAGGCTCTGTGTGCCTAAACACACACTCATTCACACTCACACACAAGAAACCGACAACCCTAGGACAGACACATCGACACACCATGCACCGCCCTGGCCACACACGGACACACTAAGCCCTGGAGACCGCGCTGCAGCTCCACCTCACACCAGCAACTCACGAGTCCCGCAACCTGAGCTGCCCCAGCAGACAACTCTGACACGCGTTCATTAACGTGCTCGCCACACTCGGGACACACACGGATTGCCAGGAGAGGATCACACACACACAGCAGACACCTCTGTGCACACGCACACTGCACACTCGGGCGGACACACAACGGAGACTCCTCCCCAGACACTGACAGACACGCACTTGCCGACGGCCGTCTGCACATACGTGGACGGCCCGCGCACGCACGCACACGCACACGCACAGCCCGCCGGCGCCGCGGGCGATTCCTGGCGACCTGGACACACGCACCGTCCCACGCCCTCCCGCGGCGGGTGACAGTGCGGTGGGCTCGGCACACCGGCCACGCAGCCACGCGGGGCCACGGGAGCACGCGCCCCGCCCCACCCGCGCCCGCGCGCCTTTACTGCCGGCGCCCGGGCCTCCGGCGCCGGCCCGCCCGCGCGCAGAAAGGGCGACGCGCGGTGCCGGGGAGGGGCGCGGGGAGGCACTTCCTGAGCATGCCTGCAGGTAAAAAACCCCCGAACCGCGCGCGGCCAGAAACCCCGCCCGCCACCGCCGCCGCCGGCCTTGCGCGCGCGGCTGACTCGAGCCAGGGGCCCGGGAGCTCGGGCCGCCCGCGGGCGGCGCGCGTGGCAGGGGGAAGGGATTCACGGCGGAGGCGGGAGCCGGGGGAGCGACGCGGAGGGAGAAAGAGACGGTGGGATCTCCCCCCATCCTCCTGCCTCAGCCTCCCGAGTAGCTGGGACTACAGGTGTGTGCCAACACCCCTGGCTAACTTTTTCTATTTTTTGTAGAGATGGGATCTTGCTATGTTGCTCAGGTTGGCCTCAAACTGCTGGCCTCAAGCCATCCTCCTGCCTTGGCCTCCCAAAGTGCTGGGAGTATAGGCATGAGCCACCGTGCCTGGCCTGTGCTTACTTTTATACACAGCGAACACTTATATAGCACCTCCTGTTTGCCAACCACACTGTTCCAAGCACTTTATGAATGCACCGAATCCAACTCAGCCTTACGAGGTAGGTACCTTGTGAAGCAGATGCCAGTATTACCCCCATTTTGCAGATGGGTAAGCCAAGGAAGAGAGGTAAAGTCAGTCACTCAAGTGCACTCAGCTAAAAAGTGGCAGAGCTGGGACTTAAGGCCAGGCAGGCCACCTCTGTCCCAGGGTACCTTTGCTCCCGGCCATTGTGCTGTGTGCTACCTTTCCCCATTCATTGCCACGTGAAACCCTCCTTCCTCACCCTGTCCCCGGGGCAGGGATTGGCGACACGCCTTTTCGCCATCCCGAGGTTGGCCCCAGGTCCTTAGGGCTCCGTGCCCGGGGAGGGGGAGCCACTTACAATGTTCATGATGGCCAGCACGTACTGCTCCACGTCGCGGCGCCCGTGGTAGGCCACCATCATCTTGTCAGCCACCACCAGGGTCTCCACGTAGCGCTCTCGGCTGACCGACCGCTTCAGGCCAGGCTGGCCCCGCTCCGTCTCATTTCCCGGGGGCCTGGCGGGTGGCGGCTTCAGCGTGCGCAGCCACCACGGCCGCCCTTTCCACGGTTTCTCGTCTGGGGAACCCGGGAGACGGCGACTGAGCCCTGCCCTGCTGGCGGGGCGCGCAGCAGCCTGACCGTTGTCCCATAGGACACCTGACTCTCCACTCGACAGCCGGACGGACAACTGCTGGCCATTCTGCGGCCTGCTCTTGTTGTCCAACTCCCTGTCTGATGGTCCCTCTGCCCAACAGGCTGCCACGTACCTCGTTCTTTTGCTGTCGGGCACCCTGGCAGGACCATGTCTGGTTTTGCAGTGTCTCGCGACCTGAATGTTGGGTCTGCAATGACTTTCCCACTGCCTAATGGTTGGGTTGAATAAGAGACCGACTTCCCCACTGTCTTTTTTTTTTTTGAAACAGAGTCTCACTCTGTCGCCTTGGGTAGAGTGCAGTGGCACCATCCTAGCTCACAGCAACCTCAAAACTCCTGGGCTCAAGTGATCCTCCTCTCTCAGCCTCTCTAGTAGCTGGGACTATAAGCACATGCCACCAGGCGCCCAGCTAATTTTTTCTATTTTTAGTAGAGACGGGGTCTTGCTCTTGCCCAGGCTGGTCTCAAACTCCTAAGCTCAAGAGATCCTCCCGCTTTGGCCTCCCAGAGTGTTTAGGATAACAGGCGTGAGCCACTGTGCCTGGCCCTCCTGTCTGGTTGTAGAACAATCCATCTGTCCCGTTGCCTGAATGCTCACCTGTTAAGCAACCACACTGCCTCAACGCCCAAATGTCCAACTGAACACTTGCAGAAGTGTACTGCTGCCATGCTGGTTGGTTGAACAACTGTCCCATTACAGTCAGCATGATCACAAGACCCCTGATAATTCCTCTGCCCGATATATTGGCATGGAGCAGCCTGTCTCACTGTCTGAACTGTGCGCTTGTCCAACTGTGCTGCTCCCAACCAACCAACTTGCCAATCAATGCACTGCCCAACTGCCTGACTGTACCACAACGGGACTGTCCCACAGACAATCCAACTGCGACATCACTTCCTTTTCTGCTTGTACCACCAACTGTGGTTGTATGTCTACCAGAATGTCCTACCCAGAGACTATCCAGTTGTACAACCACTCAATGTCGCATTGTTCTGCTTTTCCCCCCCAAATTGATCTGTTTTTCTAAGTGAATGACGGTGCTGGTAAATATTTTATTGTTGTATAAATTTCCTACTCTCCTGTTCCCTAAATGTCTGAGTGTACAGCTGTCCTCCTAGCAGCCTGGTTGTAAATCTGACCTGTTGACTGTACAACTGCTCGAGTATCTGCTACAACCACCCCGCTGCTTGCCTTCTGCCTCTGCCTCAAGGGAGAGACATTGTACATCCCCTCTGCTCAACCCCAGAAAGCCAGATGTACCTCTCACTCCACAGGCTGTGTCCAGGTGGGGGTGACGCAGAGAGGAACGCTTGTACACCACGTGGGGGCCACTTTCCTCTGGGCCCCGGGGACCCTTGGGCCCACCTTGCAGGGGCTCAATCAGGTACTCCTCCTCGTCTGCCACAATCAGGCCATGCTGGGTTTTGAGGAGTGGGACAGAAAGCTCAGATCAGATTCTGAATCCTAGGACCCCAGGATTCTCTCTCTGTCTTTATGATTTCGTTCCTATCTACCTATCTAATCTATCTTGTTGGGTTTATTTCACTATTCCTTTTCTAATGTCTTGAGATGGCTGTTCGGCTCATTAACTTTCAGCCATACCTAAGGCTATACATTTTCCTCTAAGTACTGCTTTAGCTGCATCCCCAAAGTCCTGATTAGCTCAATATACTTAAAAAAAAAAAGTCCCACTATGAGTCTTTCTCTGACTTCTATTTAGAAGGGTTTTTGTTAACTTCCAAACTTGTGGGAATTTCCCCTTGTTTCCAGAATTCTCAGCTCACCAGGCCTCCACAGGTGCTGATGGCCACATGGGAGCTGCCGGCCTGGCCCTGCAGGTGGCCGGCATAGAGGCAGTGGGGCCGGGCGGCCCTCTGCCAGGCCAGGCCCTCCCGTGTCCAGTACTCCACAGAGACGTGCCCTGCCAGTAGACGGGTGTTGTGGGTCAGGTTCAGCAGGAAGTGGGTGCTGGGTGCGGCCACCTTGTAGAAGAGGCGGGACTCAGCTGTGGCCCCCGCGCCCCGGCGCTGCCTCCGGGGAGGAGGTGGCGAGAAGGCGAGCAGTGCCCCGTTGTGGTCCACACGGGTGGGGAAGGCGATCTCATAGCTCTCCAGACTGGACAGGAACTCATCTGCGGGTGGGGGGCAGGGAGGACTGGGTGGGCCCTGCTCTCGGCTGGCCCCTGCGTCCTGCCTGCTGGCGCAGGTGACGCTGGCCTTACTGATACCCGAATCCAGGTCACTGGCCCGCAAGGCTCCAGTCTAAGTGACCCCAGGGCCTTCCTCCCACGACTCCCCCTTCCCCGCCCATGAACCCCTCTTTCTGTCGGAGCCAGAACGGCCTCTCCTTTTTCCTGCCCCACTGCCACCCCCGGACCGCTCTTACCTTGAGACCGGAAAGCATGCGTGACCTCGAACGTGAGGCCCAGCCCCAGGGCAAGGGCCCAGCGGAGGATCTGGCAGGCGGGAGCCATAGAGGCCACGTGTCCACATGTCTCTCCCCAGCCCCGGCTGCCGGCAGCCCCCACGGTGCCACCTCCCCTGTTCACAGCCTGGGCAGCATCACCGGGGTCTTGGGAGGGGAGAGCCGGGTCAGAGGCGGGGGGCCTGGTCCCGAGGCTGGCCAAGGCACCCCTCCCCAGGATTCCAAATGCATTCCCTCTCTCAGCAGATCCCCTCTCCCCGTCTCCCCATCCAATGCTCCCTGCCCTCCCAGTGAGGACAGGCAGGGACCGGAATGTCACCACGAGCACCTCCTAGGTGCCAGCTATTGGCCCATTGCATTCTATTCCCAAAATGTCTCTGGGAGCTCCCCTGGCACCACTCTCCTTTTACAGATGACGAATCAGACTTGGGGTGGTGAGAGTTTGCCCAGGGTCACGTGGCTAGAAAGCGGTGAACCCTCAGACTCATTCACTGGGGAAGGACCGTTGATGAGCTCCAGGGGACAGCGGCTGTGCATGATAGGGACAGTCACCCTCGGAATTGCCACCGCCACCACTGCCCTGGCCCTCTAGGGCTCAGTCTCCTGGGAGCCACAGATGACAGACTGGTCAATGGAGAGCAGTCCAGATTGTGACATGTTCTTGGGAGGTATCAGTGGGGAGACTGGGAAGCAGAGGTTGAAGGGTGGGAAGAGAACAATTGTGTGGAGAGACAGGAGAAGGTGCACCAGGCAGGGGAGTGGCAAAGGCACAGGCTTGGAGGCGTGGCGGGGCAGGCCCCAGGCCGGGCAGGTGCAAGGGGAGGCTGGGAGGCTGGGGCGGTCAGTGTGGATTTTCAAGGCAGATTAAAGCCACAGCCAGTGCTCCGGTCCCCCAGATTTCCATATTCCCACCCACTGTCCTCAACCCTGTCCTTGGATCCTCTGCCATGGGTAGCACCATTCACCCCACCTGCAGGGCTGGAAACCACTGTCCCCAGCAGCCGTCTCCCGGCCCCCTGGGCAGATCTGTTTCTCCAGCATCTGCCCCAGGCCAGCCTGCTGCAGACACCATTTTGGGCCACCACCCTGTGCCAAATCCTCCTCCCCCACGCCCTCCCGTCTCCGCCCTCCTCCTCCTCCTCCTCCTCCGTGCAAAATCCCCCTTAATCACACACTGTCTTGTTTTTTTTGCAGCCCAGCCAAGTCTGAGAGTTGATCCCTAAACAGGGCAGTTTGGCCCCGGAGGGAGGGAAACTGTTTTTTGTTTTTTTTTTCTGAGCTGCTGACCTGAGAAGCCCACATTCCCCGCTTCCACTTGGATCCCTCCAGCAACGGGGAGCTCACTCACAGATATTTTGTGACCCTGCTGCTCTGTTTGGCCGGGCTAATGTCCACTCCTTGTTTTTCCTTTTTTTGTTTTACCTTTTTGGGGGCTTCGGTTGGTGGCGTGGCGTGGGGCCCCTGTGCGGATCCTCCCCTCCGCCGCTCCCTGAGCCTCTCTGGGCCTCGGTTGCCTCTTCCGTGGGACCCTGGGCAGCGAGGAGTCGCCAGGCTGGTCTGGAGCACTGAGCTGGGTCTGTAGTTCAGGGGTTGCTCAGGAATCTCTGATCCTCTTCCTGCCCCTGGGGAACCTCTTCTGGGACTTTATCTTCTCTTCCTAAAGCCCTTCCTCACCCCCCAAAAAACTCCTCCCCCCATCCATCCCTTCTTGCTGCTTCTTCCTTCCCTGGAGGCCTCAACCAACTTTGGGATCAGGGCCCTTCCTGTCCTAAATTGCCCCCTCCCCATTGGCAGCATGGCAAGGCTTGGAGCTGTCCCTCTGTCCCATGGCTGTGTCTCCCCTCTCCCCCACTGCCAGGTCTGGCACCCTAGCTTCCTCCCGTGGGGCAGGGGGACCCTCCTCCCAGCAAACCTCATACCCCTCCTGGGCTTCTGGCTCAGCTGGGGGGGGGGTAGGGGATAGCGTGGAAGGAGTGGGCTAGGGGGGTGGAGGCTGGGGGAGGGGAGTCCCGGTGCACAGGATGGGGAGGACAGGGACCTGCAGGGGGCTCACAGGTGTCTGAGCCAGCTCCGCCCCCAGGTCAGCTGAAAGGTGTCACATAGCCCAGGGCACTGGGTTGGGGACTACAACCAAGGTGGTGGCTCTGGGGAGGGTCTGGGGGAGATGCACTGGGGGTGGGGAGGTGGCCAGTTAGGGGCAGAGACCACGTGAGCAACAGGATGTTATTAGCAAGGGCCGGGCGCTGGAGCGGCAGGTATGTGTGCGCCCCTGCGTGCGCGTGTGCGTGTCTGTGTCTGTGTGTGTACGCCCAGGCCCCACCATGACTCCCCGAGGCCCTCCAGGAAGAGGGCAGGAGGGAGGTGGCCTGTGTGGGGGAGGGTGTCAGGACTGGAGGAAATGCCTCACGGAAATGGTTGGGAAACTGAGGCTCTGCTCCCTCCGTCCCGTCCTGGGGATCCCGGAAGAACCAACGGCGTCAGAGCAGCCCTCCCGGGCGGGATGCCCCGGTGGAGGCCAAGGCCGCGTCTGCCCAGGCAGAGGCCCGGCCGCCTGCACATCTGGCCAGCCAGCGGGAGGCAGCCGGGCCGAGAGCAGACAAAGGCCCGGCGAGCGGGGCGGCCTGCGCAAGGAGGGGTGGCCCTCCCCGGCGCCCCGGCGGGTCCCCACCCCCCAGCCGCTAATTAAAGGCCCTGAGCCCGACCGCTGGAGACACCCTGAGACAGACGGCTGCGGCCTCGGTGACCAACTCAGGGGAAGTGGGCGGCGCCTGTCCCGCAGCCAGACACACAAACACACACTGGCAGCGACACACACACACACACAGCCCGCGCAGCCAGGGACCAGCGCTCTCGGGCACCCCAGACCCGCAAGGCACCACGTCCCACCCCCAGCACACGCAGGCCACCACACTCAGCACACACTCACGAGACCGGCACACGGAGACACACAACTACACACTCCCAGAGCTCTGTGTGCAAACACACACTCATTCACACTCACACACAGACACACGACAACCCAGGACAGACACATCGACACACCAGTGCACACGCCCATGGCCCACACACGGACACACGAGCCCTGGAGACGCGCTGCAGCTCCACGCTCACACCAGGCAGACTCACGAGTCCCGCAAACCTGGCTGCCCCAGCAGACACTCTGACACGCGGGCGTTCATTAACGTGCTCGCCACACTCGGGGACACACACGGATGCCAGGAGACGACACCACACACCAAGGGCAGGGACCCCTCTGTGCCCACGACGCACACTGCACACTCGGGCGGACACACAACGGAGACTCTCCCCAGACACTGACAGACACGCACTTGTCCCGCACGGCCGTCTGCACATACGTGGACGGCCGCGCACCCGCACACGCACACGCACACGCACAGCCCGCCGGCGCCCCCGCGGGCGCGTCCGTGGCGCGCACCTGGGACACCACGCACCGTCCCCACGCCCTCCGCGGGCGGGACAGTGCGGTGGGCCTCGGCCACACCGGCCGACGCAGCCACGCGGGGCCACGCGAGCACGCGCGCCCGGCCCCACCCGCGCCGCCCGCGCGCCTTTACCTGCGCGGCGCCCGGGCCTCCGTGCGGCCGCGACTCCCGCCCGCGCGGCAGAAGGGAGGGCGCGAGCGCGCGCGGCGGCGGGTCGGGAGGGGCGCGGGGAGGGCACTTCCTAGCAGCCTGCCCCGAGGGTTATAAAGAAACCCCAACCGGCGCGCGGCAGAAACCCCCGCCGCCGCCGCCGCCCGCCGCAGCCGCGGCTGGACTCGACCAGGCCCCGGCCGGCCGCCCCCCGGCCGGCGCCCCGCGTCAGGGCAGGGGAGTCACGGCGGGAAGCGGGGGAGCGCGGGGAGCCGAGGGGGAAGGGAGAAAAAGAGCGTGGGAGAGGAGAGACCGGTGGTGGAGGATTAATGGAAGCGCGGGCGGGGTGGGCGGAAGGAAAGGGCGAGATGTGGTCCCGGGGAAGCGGAAGGCCCCGGAAGCACGGCCAGAGGGATGGAGACCGCGGCGGGTGGGGGAGGGAGACTCATTCCTCGCCAGCGTCGGGCAGGCAGGACAACAAACAGCTGTTATTTATTGAGGGCTGGTCCTCACTCAAACGAGCATTTATTGGGCGCCTCCCGTGTGCCAGGCACGATGCCCGGGGCTGGGCGAGTAAGTCCCAACTGGGCCCCACCCTCCCAGAGCTCCCCTCTGGGGGGTTTGATGTAACCCCCATCCCCTTGGCCTCTCTGGGTGCTTTAAACTCCTCCGCTGTGATGTTGGCTTAGGCTGATCCCATTTCACAGATGAGGAAAGTGAGGCCAGAGAGCAGGCACCCTCCTCTGGGTCTTGGTCACCCCTGGGTCCGTGCAAAAAAAAAACAAAAAAACAACAACATAAGAGCGGATGCCTGAATGCGGGTGGGATTCCGACCCAGCTAGCCGGGGTTGGTGCCTGGCTGGATCCAGGAAGGGGCAGGGCGGAGGAGGTGACCCTCAGACCACACAATTCCAGGCATTTTCCGGGCACGGCCTCCAGGGCGCCGGGCAGAGCCGTGGCCTTCTCTGAGCTCGGGTTTACTGGCGCAGAGTTTGGGCAGTAACAGACAGACCGGGCAGCGCGGCCTCCCGACCCTGAACTTCCTTTTGAACTTGGGTCTAATCAGGGCTCATGCATACAGCAGCCACTCCAGAAATACCGGACTCCTCTTGGAGCTGCCACCACCCTCCCCCACCCCAACCTCTCCGGGACTCCAGGCCAGACCAGAGGGGCGGCCCACCCTGGCGTTTGCTCCCCACCTCCTCCCAGGGCCCCTCCAGCCGACGTTTGGGGAACGAGTCCAAGTTCAAGTCCGCTATGCGCTGCTAGCTGTTCCTTCATTACCTGCCGGCCTCCTGGGGGCTGGTCCTGGGCTGCCTTCCAGGTCCCTCTTCCTCCGGCAAAGAGGTGGCTTCCTTTGCCTTCTCAGCGCGCCCTCCGTGCTAAAAAGCTCCCACTGTTAGCCCAGGGACTGGTCCAGCCACCTGTCCCCAGTCTGGTGGTGGGTGGCCTCCAGACCGCACTGGGGTTTTCAGCTGGGCGCTCCCAGGCCACTTAGTAGCTGTGAAACCTCTTCTTGTAATTATTCTGTGAAACTTGGGCTGTTTGCATCCATTCCTTCCCGGCACAGCGCTGGACTTCTTGTGGCGGTCTCTCCTCCCCTCTGGGGCATGTGGCCTCACAGATTGGTTAGGGGATGGCATGGTACCCCCCCCTCACCCCCCAAGCAGGGACCGCTGGGAAACAGACTTGTGCCTTGGGTGGGATTTGAAGGTGAGTCCCCACCTTAGACAACGGGGGAGGCCTCTAATAAGAATGCAGTCACCAGGTGGAGGAAGGTAATGGCCCTGGGGCTGTCACCATTTGAGCCCTGGAGCAAGCCCTTCCTGAAGCCCATAGCTGGGCTTTCATGGATTCACACAATCTCATCGACACTATATCACCCACGTGCTGATGGAGGTACGGGGGGGAACGTGACCAGGAACAGCAGCAGGCTCCACCCCACTGAGATCAACTGTCATGCCTCAGGGCCTTTGCACTTGCCGTTCCTTCTGCTTAGAACACTCTTCCCACTGATGTCCCCCTGGCCAGCTTTGTTTCCTTCTTTAAGTCTGCACTCAGAAATCGCCCCCTGACCCCGACTGGCCACCTCAATATTACACCCTCCCCCACACCCCTCTTCTCCCATTTCCTGATTTATTTGACTCTTGGCTCGAGTCCCTCCCTGGCATACTCTATGGGGAACTTATTTATTTTTGTTGATTTTCTCTGTCCGTCCCCACCCGCCCCGGGAATGACGGCTCCGTGAGGGAAGGGCCTTTCATCTGTGTGGTCCCCAGCCATATCTGGGTGCCTAGAACAGGGTCTGGCACAAGTCGGTGCTCGGTACTGAATAAATAGGGGGCTGGAGAAAGGCTCTCAGGGGAGGTGACATTGATATTGTGGTTTGCACATGAAGGAGGCCACGGGGGTGAAGGCATGCTTAGGAGGAGGGCGCAGGGAGTGCAAGGTTCCAGCGGTTCCATTCCACTCTCTTTTGATTTAATCCAGCTTGGACTGACTTAAAAAAATTTTTTTTTGGGTGGGGAGCGGTGTATCCTTTAGAATCCTGAGAGATGCTGGGCCCGAGGGGGTGCAGTGCTCCAGTCCTGCCACAGGAGGGCGCACTGGAGCCCCATTGTTGCCCTTGGGCTGCAGGAGCTGGGAAAATAGAAGCAGTATTAGTAATAATGACCCTTATGATAACAGTGATGGTACGGAGAAGTGGCTTCGGGGCCTGTTTTAGCTTCACAACAGCCTTACGAGGTTGGCATCCGTTTCCCCAGTGAGGAAATGGGCCCAGAGAGGTTGAATAACTTGCTCAAGGTGGCTCAGCTAGGACTGGCAGAACGAGGACAGGACAACCAAGATAAAAGTCGCCAAGGATCAGACCACTTAGGCGGCAGGCGGGTGAAATTCCAGGCTGAACCCCGCCCTGCCCCCTAACTGCCAGGGTTGGGGGCCCCGGGATCATGGTGGCGAGGGGTGACCCTTCCCCGGTGCCTAGACCTCCCGTCTCTTAGCCCATCTGCCAGATGTTTTTCCCCAGCCGCATGGCTTGGTATCCGCCTTGAATGTAGAGACAGGTTGTGCCTGCTTAAGGTCAGGTGGAATAAATCGACAACCCCCCTCCCCACTCCCCGTTTGAGGGGGGCAGCGTCAGGGAGGGCTTGGGCAGTTGAAGAGGGTAAGGCAGAGTTTTTAGGCTCAGCAGGGCGTGGGCAAAGGCCTGGGAGGGCTGGGAGGGCTGGGAGGGTGACGGGCAGGTGCTCAGTTTCCCCCGAGATTCCTTCTCTCCTCCAGGAACTCAGAAGCCACCTTCCTCTCCCTGCACGTGGGTACTGCAGAAGGTCCCACCTGCAGGCGGAACCCCGGGGTGATCTGAGGGCTGGGTCCCCTTCCTCCATCCCGCTCCCCCCTTCTCCCTTGCACTTTTTGGGGCCCAGAAGTGTTTGCTGGCTACTTGCTGGGCCAGTGCCCTGCGGAGGTTAGGGGTTCCCAGTGGCAGGAAGTCTCCAACCTGGGGTGCCACCTGAAGCCTGTTCTCCCCAAGCCCCTCTATCATTTTGCAACCAGTATTTCCCCCTCCTTGGATGCATCTGGGGAAAAACATTATCACTATTATCACGGGAGCCCAGAGGAGATGCCTGGTTCAGCTTGGGAGGGGGAAGGAAGAGTAGAAATCGGGGAAGACTTCCTGGAAGAGGTGACCACTGAGCTGGGGGACCTCAAACACGCGGCCAGGCCAGAGAAGAGTGTGAGTTCTGTTCCAGGCAGCGGAAGGGAACAGCCTGTGCAAAAACTTAAGCATGACTGGAAGAAGTCTCTGGTTCTGCTGTTCGCCCCCAAGCTACGGAGGCCCCCATGGTCTTTCATCCTTTGCCATGAGGCAGTTTCTAGAGAAACCCAGAAGTGACCTAGCCCATCCCAGTGGGCTACATATCTTTATCTTTCCAGGTACGTGGTGTCCGTGGCTTCTATAAAACCAGCCAAAGACTCTTTTGATTGTCAAGTGACCCGTAACCCCCAACCCAGCAACCTTAGGACCATGCTATATATATATATATATTTTTTAATTTT